GGGTCTAAACTGAGACATACTCAGGGCTCTGCTGAGGGAAAATTTGTGATCTTCATAATCATATTGGTTTATTTTCGATCTTAGAACCACACAGAGTGCTTGTGCAAATGACGTATTGGGCCGTCAGCACAAATATATTTCCATACAACATAATGTGAGGATTAACCCCGCTGCTCCCCTGTGTGTTTTTCTCAGGCTTCAGAACAATGGTAAATGGTAAATGGACTTGAGTTTATATAGCACTTTTCTAGTCTTCCAACTACTCAAAGCTCTTTCACACCACATGTCACACCCAACTATTCATACCCTTTCAATCACTGATGGTAGTGATCGCTATGTAGTATCATCCATCAGAAGTAACTAATCCATTCATACACCACCACTGAAGCATCGGGAGCAATTCGGGGTTAAGGATCGAACCCTTGACCTTCTGGTTGAGAGGCAACGACTCTACCAATTGAGCCACAGCTGCCTCTGACAATACATATTGCAAAATGTTAATGTCTTGCTGCATTAACCTGCATCTCTGTCGCCACATCTCTGCACAGGGATGATGAATCTCATTGTAGTCAGAGTAATATTGACCCAATCAAGATTGGGCTAGGGCTGAAAGTAGGAAAACAATCTTTGTGTAGAGCTAAAGAGGTAAAAGTCACCCATTTAATAAACAGTGGAAACCCATTGGACTACCATGAATCTCAGGCAGAATCCTGTTCATGGAAAAGGAAGTCTTGGCCCACATATCTGATATCAGTTAGTGGGATATGCAATGCTTTCTCCCTAAGACCTAAAATATCCAACCTGCCTTCCAAGGTCTAAATCTCTGTCCACTGACAGCAAAGAGCTTTCAGAGAATGAGCTGCATGGATCAGGGAATAAGTCGACTCGACTGACTCTAAAGGAGAGAAGACACATGGACGTGCAGTCAAGGATTCCTGGTAAACTTGCTTTTGAAGTTTGCTATTTCCCCCTCAGGATTAGACATTTGACACTTTAAATTACGTTCACCATTATATTCACCATTAACTAGTTGCTTATTAGCATGCCAATTAGTAGCATTCTGGCTGCTTATTAGAGGGGATGAATGATTAAGAAAAGCGGTAAGTTTTACAAACAGGTAAACATCCAGATGACAAAAGAGAAAATTCCCGTAGCACATGACCAGAAGAAGCTTAAAAAAAACATTAATTCTTTCGGAGGATCTGCTGGTGGCAAAAGGAAGCAGGTGATCGGGTTACATATCATGTTTTAATATGGATGTTGAAGCAGAAGACTTGGCAGTGGGCTCTGACCTTCAATCATGTGTTTATGTTCACTTAACTCATCTGTTTATTCACAGAATTTGGCAGGTAGACGGTTTCTTAAACCTGTACAAAGAAAACAGGTTTCCTCTTCAAAGGTTAGGGATTAGGAGAAACACAGGTTACAGCTGCATTTCTGGACCATGACACACTGAAGAGAGGGATTAAAGTCAGGTTTTCTACTTGTTGCTGTGCTTGGTTTGCCAGCACAACTTATCCATAGTTAGTCCAGAAGGGATGAAAACGACTGGAAAATTTGGTCAATCAGTAAACTGGTTTCCACAACCAGCAGGCTGTAATTGATGGGCTCCATTGATCACAGAACTGGGATGTTGTGGTGTTACAGAAGCAAGGTCATCAGCGCAAATAAAGCTAAATGAAATAATTACACACAGTAAGTAAACGAGGGCTGGGTGTTATCCAGGACCTCACAACAGGATTCCCCTAGAGGAGGCTGTGGCACAGTTGGTAGAGGTCGGACGGGGGTTTGATCCCAAGCTTCTAATGGACTCTTTACATTGCGGCTTCTGCCGTGTAAAAGCGCTCTGAGTAGCCAGAAGACTAGAAAAGCTCTATACAAGCTCAAATCCATTTACCATTTACCATCTATCACCATACATGGGTCACGATACGATACTCAACTTTGAAAGTAAAGCACAGATTACGGTTTGCTGTGTTGTTGAGTCTAAACTATTTCATTCTGAAATTTTCATCTCAATTTATTAGAATATGTGATTTTCACAACACCAGAATTTTAAACTTGTCTATGACTGTAGCAAAAAAATCAAACAATATTAATACCTGTTACGAAAGCACAGCAAAACCAAAACTGTGAAAGTTTTCTTGTTTTTTAACACCAACTTGCACATACTGGAACAGAAAAAGTCACTGATTTGAAATAAGGTTTACAGTAATAAAAGGCATAATAGTGAAACAATACTTCTCAGTAATCACTCATATATATATATATATATATATATATATATAGAGGTTTATATATTATATTATATATCTTTGGATCAGTGGTAGAGTCGGTCATCTCTCAACAGGAAGTGGGGGGAATCGATCCAGAGCCCCTGCAACAACATGTCAATTTGTCCATGGGCAGAGGGGCTGCTTATCAACAGGCAACTGCTTGGGGCCTCTGACCAGTATGGGGGCCCCTGAGGGTTCACAAACTTAAACCAAAGCAGTTCCCAAATATGTGAATGCAAATTTTGCAATGACAGTAGGAAACCTGCCTAAGGGGCCCCGATCTGACAGCACTCACTCATGTTGCCCTGCTGAGCATTGCATGCATTATTGCTGTGAAAACCAAAGTTTGTCAATGAAAGTCAACAAAGAAAAAATGGAAAGGAGTTATCCGTCTATACTGTCTTTAGGAGAGAGGGCCCCCCAATTGATCTTTGCCTCGGGCCCAACCAGACTCTAGAATCACCACCGTCCTTGGGCTAGACACTTGACCCCAAGTTGTATATACCTGCCTGGAGGGGAATGTAAATAATCATTAACCTCAACATGAGCTCTGACCTCAAAATTAACCTCATGTGGTCAAAGTGTGGGGTCTGCTCATGTTAAATGTCTTTAGAAAGACAGGAGCCGTGTGTAAAACGCAGATCAAACCCACACTAAAGCTCACTTATGGGAATCTCAATTCAAATTATCCTGACAGCAGGCTTTGGCTTGTCTTTTACAATGCATGACTTTCCCCGGACTATAAAGGCAATTCACAGTTACATGCTGCTCATGATTTGGTTGAGGCAAGCGGCGCTATCACTGGTAAAGTATTTACTCCGCAACAGGACGATTAAATAGATTTATTTATGCTGCGGCAGTTTAGTTGGGAAAGGCGAGGGGATTCGTCAAATAGGAAGCTCTTTGAAGTGAGGAGAAATCTTCTCTGCAGCTGCTCTCTCCCCCTGCGCAGGTTAGGTGGAAGGCTAAGTATTTGAAAAGACTCCATCAGCCCTACAGAGAAGCCAAAAGTTACTTTGGCACTCAGTGTTTCGTATTGTTGGCACAAAAGTCTGCCCTCAACGGCTAGGTCAAAAACATAAAAAAAAAAAGGCTTTCATCATGACGTGTTTGGGGTGGCACGCACATTTGTGGAATTAAGGATACATAGAATACCGGTATTCATACTTTCTCCAAAAATCCCACAGTGGCCAGAGGGTTGTAAAAAACAGTTTGTTTTAAACACAAGGTGAACCATTTCTGAGCAGTCTTAAAATTGCAACTATATCTGTCCCTTCTATATATCTTTGTCCTACTATTCATTAATATCAGGTACAACAGATGTTACTCTTTCTATCCGCTTGTCCAGTGGTTTTTCCTGAACGTCAACATGAATTTTGACTCCATGTCTTCACAAAGACTACAAAATGTACAAAACCATTTTTACTGTCGAGCAAATGTTGAGTCATGGATCAGTTGCATTCGTTTCAATCACTCCCTGCAATAATGCAGGACAGACTCTGAACATAACATCATTTAAAGGACCTCCACAGCAGGATACAGAGTCAGAATTCCCTCCATATGGGGTCTGAGCTGTCCAGCGGATATCTTAATCCATCCGCTGGGAGCCATGGCGGGCCATTCACACCTAGAATCAAGTGGTACTGTTATCAACTGTTCTCAGATGACCCTGGATAGATGTTAATGCAAGGTATAAACAGCCTCTCTATGTTAGCATCTGTGTTAGATAATTATAGAAAACAATTAGGAACTGCAATCTACTAACTGGTGTTGTAGTACTTGAATCTCGTGACCACCTTTGGAAGGTCTCGGTCATATCTCGGAATGGAAATCATTTTCACTCAGTCTTGTCTCGGTCTCGGACTGGGCAGACTCCAGATTTTAAATCAAGAGTGGTTAAGAGCAACACTGAAATGGCTATTTTTCCACAATATTACTTACTAAAAGAACAATTAACTTTAATTCATTCATAGTTAGATTTTTATCCCCTGGTTACGACCGCAACCTTCCCAGTGTTACAGTGAGTGATGATGATATTTCAGTGATGTTTATGGTCTTGGTCTTGTCTCGGTCTCGCCCTGCCTTAGTTTTGGTCTTGTCCCAGTCTCACCCTGCCTTGGTCTTGGTCTTGTCTCGGTCTCGCCCTGCCTTGGTCTTGGTCTTGACTCGGTCTCGATCCCTTAATGTCTTCGTCTTGACTAGGTCTCTGAGCACTCTGGTCTCTGGTATGTCTTTCCTCGGTTAGTGTGGTCTTGACTACGACAACTACAACTAACAATGATCATCTGAGGGATTGACTTCTATATATTTCATTTCTATACTGTACATGTTCAGTTCAGTTGTGAACTTGTGAACTTGTGAACTTTGATAAATAAATGACAAACATCTGTTTGTGCATTGATTTGAAGACCTGTTCCTCGCTTGTTCTCATTTGCCACCCATGCTGCCTAAGCTTTGTCAAACGAGCATGCATCTGAAGCTCGAGTATTACTCACCTGGTTAAGACTTGGATTATTTTACACAAGTGTTTATTTTGATTTGCTTCTTGGACATTTCTTACAAACAAATGTCAATTTACGGCACTTACTGAAAATCTGCTTTCTGGGAAAACTCTGAATCATGTTAAAATGTTGGCCCGTCCCCGCCTTTGATACTTGTGAGGTAAAATTATCTTTTTTGGGAAGGACATTAACATTTTGTTTCTTGTTTATAACTTGTGTCTAGCCTTTTGGAGGGGACGGCTGGTGTGACACCATCAACAACCGGGCTTACTGCCAGTATGACGGAGGAGACTGCTGCCCGTCCACGCTCTCCACCAGAAAGGTACACAAACACATTTCCAGGGCTCCAAAGTCCAGACTGCCGTATTTACACAGGAGGAGAAATGTTGCCTTTCTTTACTGTAAAAGTGTCTGTTTTTGTTTCTATAACAACACATCTTTCAGGGATAATCTTTGAGGACAACTCACACTTTCGTTTCACCTCGTTTTAAAAGGTGGCAAAGGGTTGTTGAGCTCACTGCAGGCTCACATCTTGAAATCAAAACGGAGCTCAGAAGGTGAAGCTGGATTGACAGTCAGAGTCTTTTCCTGTTTACAGTAGTAGAAATCCGTCTCTTTTGGCACGATTGCTGTGCCACTACGCAGGAGACTTTTGCTAAGCAAACAAACACAAATCCCCGCTACTTTTCCCCTCTCTCTCCCGCTAACGACTGCGCCTATTTAGTCTCACTCATCTGTACTTAAAACAACAGAGGAGACTTGTGCCCTCCGGCTTTTCCACTCAAATGGTAAATAAGCAGGTTTTCACCACCCCATGCTGCTTTACACTTTCCCACCTCTCATATTAAGACGCTTTTTCACTGCAGAGGGAACAAGTCAGGGGTCAGGACGTCAGGGAAAATGTAGCTACTGACATTAAATTGCTGCTTCTATTACACTACTAACAGCGTGATGTCGGCCTGTAATTGATTTGCATTTTGAAAAAAGAAAAAAAAAACCTAAGTAACACAAGCCGAATGAGTTTGAGGATATCGGTTATCATTGTATATAGCAGTAGAAGACCAGACAATAGCAGCAGTCAGCACTTTTTTGTTTGTCTCCACATAGTTTAGGAAATGTACGCCTGAGTACGAGTGCATTTAGTGTTTGGATGTTGAATATGTCTAATGAAATTGATTGTTTGTCAAATTGCCAAAATGCAATGCTACTTATGTTCGCCAGTTAATGGGATTTTCCAATATGTATCAAAATAATGAAGTAAAAAAATGCATCCCGGACCATCTGTGAGAAATGACAGAAAGGAAGGAAGGAAAGAGAAGAAAATTAAAGAAGGGATGATGCAAAGTGAAAGACAAAAATAAAACTGAGAGGTAGCAGCAGGGAAATGTTTCTTCTTGCATTATTTTTGTGCAAATCAAATTAAGAGATTAAAGTAAAAGATGCAGTCCAATGAGAAACAACGAGTTTAGGGTTTTGTTCAGGAGAAAAAAAACTTTGCTTGCAAAAAAAATTATTCCATTTTTCAAAAGCTGTGATGAATCTGGGTTCCAGTTTATGAACTAATATCCTTATTCTTGCGATATCTTGTTCATTACACTAATTGCTCTGAATGACTGCTGTCTGTATTTAGTGGCTGAGAGGAACAGTATAAATAATAATGAGCAAACCCAGGTCAGGCCAGTGGTGGAAACCAGGCCACTCATTCCCTAACTGCTTCTACATAAACACGTCTTTTTACCCCTATTTTTCTGCTTTCACTAGAGCCCATACTTCCCCCAAACTATACCCCATTTGGCTACTGTACAGCCGCACATTAATGACACTCCTTCAGGGGGCCCTGCCTATTAATTCCTACGGCCTTCTGTTGGCCGAGTCTCGGCTGTCTCCTTCATGTCCGCAGCACGCTATGACTCACCGGCAGCTCCTTCCTAAATGGAGAAGGAGTTCAGCGAGTGTGTAGCTGCCATCGTAATAAATGAGCTGCGAGTCTGCCACTAACTGCTTTTTTTTTTTTTACAGGGGGAGGGGTGGGGGGGAGCAGAGGGTGTGTGGGAGGGAGAGGCGAGGTGTCTGACGGTCTGCGGTTTACTCTGTAAAACGGCAGCGCAGCGAGCGGGGGTCGTTCTGAGGAAGTTCACTAAACCAATGTGAGAGTCAGCAACCTGACTGCCACAGCGGCTCCAGCAGAGTGATGGAGCAGAGAGGGAGGGTGAAGAGCTGCAGACGATTTGTTTTCAGAACGCTCTGTTTCTATGTGGCTCCACTTTTTCAGGTGTAGGAAGTCACAGGTTTTTAACGCAGCGTGACCCACATTACATTTTCTCTCGGCTTCCGCACAAGAGAAAATGTATATTTGATGTCAATTGAATACTTCAATACTTAGCCATCCAGGGGCGTCTCCAGACTTTTTGGACAAGGGGTGGGGCACTGACTTGTGCAGGGGTGGCCTGAAGTTTGTGTGCAGAATGAAGAGCATTTATTAATAAATCTGCACTTATCACATCAACTATCAAGAAAAAACAAGATAGTGGCAACATATACATCTTCTAAGCTTTACTCTTCAAGTACTCAAAACAATATTTGTGTCCAAAATCACAATTTAAATTATTTAAAAAATTGCAAACAAACATCTGCACACTATGAGCTATGAACTATTGCAACAGAGAATGAATAGTGGATTTCTAACAAGTCCCAACTCTCGTAAAGGCAAATAGCCAATGAGAGTTCAGGATTTTTTGGCTGGCACTTGGGGTGGCCAATAAGATTACAAAGGGGGCCCTTACCGCCCTTGGCCACCCCTCAAACACACACTGATCATGGGCGACTTTAACCCTATTCTGCACTTAAACATGGCCACTTCACAGATTGTTGCAATGTTTGGCTGGAAAAGACTTCTATGTCTGAATTTTCAAATCATCTTTCTACAATTCTACAATTCACTTAGCAGACGCTTTTCTCCAAAGCGACGTACATCAGAGAGTAAGTAGAACACAAGCAAGGATCTAAAAAAAGGGAACAATGTAGTAAGAGCAAACGATCAGCTTTGAGTCTGATTGGACACACAGGTGCTGACAGGAAGTGACCAGAGGCAAAGCACAACATTGAGGGCAGTTCTTGAGAGCTCTAATCAGTATAGAAACCATCTTATAAGTCATCTTTATCAAACAAAAACCATCGTCATTACCATCATCATCATCATCAATAATATGGAGACCATCATCATTAAGTTAATAGGTATTCATGAAAGAGCTGGGTCTTTAGCTTTTTCTTAAAGGTGCAGAGAGACTCTGCAGATCCAATGGAGTTTGGAAGTTCATTCCACTAGCATTCCATCTTTCTATTTATATATTTCTTATTTAATTCACATCTATCTATGTCTAGATTAGCCTTCGAGGGCCAGCTGCTGCTTTATTTTTACAGATCAGGTAGTTTTGATCTATATACGGGATAGCTGCAGCGATGACAAGTTGGTTCAGGTAGGATTCAGTCATTGGCTGCCAGGGGAAAACCCCAGAAGAAGAGATCACAGCTGCAAAATAATACATGGAAACACACACTGTTTGTTATACAATGTTGATGAAGTTCAGATCGCGCCTGTAGCCCGCGCAGATGGCCAAAGTAGTAAAAGCAGCAAAGAGCGAACAGAAGTAGGACAATAAATACTTTACATTTGGTTTTGATTGCGCTCAAGGTTGAAATCAACACTTGGAGACTTTTTCCTGTCACATGAATTCTGTTCATAAATGTGCCGCAGTAAACAGCAGGGGGAGGCAAGTTATCCGAACCCCGCAAGAAATAGCCAGAAGAGTTGAAAAACAAGAATCCCCTCTTTCCATCCAGAGGTTGTTAGAATAAACCAAAAGGTGGAGGATTGCTTGGCTTGCTCTGCATCAATGAATCAAGATGAAGCTGGTGAGGAAACATTTAATGGCCGCGCCGATTCATCTTAAATGGGGGCTGCTGGAATTTTAAGGGGTAGCTGGGCCCTCTGCAGTGGAACCATTACCCCCGCCATCAACCCACCGTCTCCCTCCAAAACTGAGGGCAATCAGCAGTGAAGGCCGACAAGCTGCTACCTCCCACTCTCCTCCTCGCCTCGCTACCGTCATCCTTTTTTTCTTTCTCGGCCTCCCACTCTCCTTTTTTTGCCCCTTCTCGTTCTCTCAATCTTCGTCTCTCTTTCTCTCTCTCTCTCTCTCTCCTTCTCTCCAGGAGCAAATGTTTACATTTCTTGCAACAGACTGCTTCGCGGGGCACCAGAGTTTATTTTGCAACCTGTGGTGATGGCTCGCTTCCTAGACAAGAGCTGGCAGCCTCTTGTTGTTGATTCTTAACATGTGTTCATCCGTTCACCTCCACGGCGGTGCGGTGCGGTCCTCCCCCCACCCCCCCAGAAGACCCTCAGGGCTTCTTCGGCATTCAAAGGCCACGTTGAACCATTTGACATCATGCACTTTATTGGCCTCCGGGGGGCCGTTGGAGTCCTCTTTGAAACTGTGAGGAAATATAACAAGTCTACTAAGACGGCGCTCGGGTTACTAAACGCTGCTTACCTTTCAGCACAGACACAAATGCAGAAGAGGAGGCTAAACTGTTTACTTGCAAATACATTCAACAGTCTTTTTTTTTAGAGACGACTTTCACTGAACGACCTGATGTAATGTTTCACTTTTACTCTGCTGCGTCTCTTTCCCTCTTTCCCAACACTTGAAGAGACCCTGTGCTATACATGCAGGATTTTTTTTAATCAGATTTCTTTCAACAGAGACCATCCCAGACAGCCTGTGGAACGTGTGTTTTCTCTGTTTAGTCATCCATTAGAAATGACATCCGTACCAGACAGTCTCTGAAAGTCACATTGTGTGTGTGTTTTCGTTTGAATCCGGCCGCAGATTTAAAGATGTATAGTGGCTTTTGGGAAGCTTAAGGAATGAATGTTCTTCTTGTTTACTGACAGGTCATTCAGTTTGGGGCCGACTGCGACCAGGATGAGTGCACTTGCCGTGATCCGGACGCCGAGGAGAATAAGAGCAAAGCCAAGACCTTGAAGGAGGGAGGAGGAGGAGGAGGAGGAGGAGGAGGAGGAATGCAGTAAGATGGAGGGATGAAAGAGGCTGAACTTGTATTAAACAAAGTCAAACCACAGACTGTACACCACAACAAACAAATACAAAAATATTCAATTTTTAACATTTGTAATGCAAAGAATGCGATTGAAGACAGACGTCTTTCAATAAAATGTCCTTCATTTTTTTTGTTTTTGATCATTTTGGTTTCAAAGCATCGCACATGAGTCATGTTTGTTTAAAAATTCCTTCCCTGCATCAATCCAGCCAAACATCCACTTGTGAAACTTGTGTATTGTTTTTCTTCCCTGTTAAGAGGTGAAATGTTATCTTCACTTGCTGGATTTGTGTTCTGAGCAGAATATGTCATATTCGGGGATTTGGAGCCTGACTAAGAACACACTGAGGTTTATCCACTCCTGTGCAAAACAAGTCATCATAATTGGATCAAATCACTGATGTACACAGATGCACGGATGTTTCTGGACTTGATTAGTGCTGGGATGAAGAAAACAAAAAAAAAAAAGAACTGGCTGTGCCTGAATAAAGTAAGGGCTACTGCAGCGGACTGTGTGTTTACCTTTACAGGACAAACATTAGCTTTCCATCAAATCAATTCAGAGTGAAGCATGAACATTTAAATGAAGCTTAAAAAAAAACAGGATTGGAGATTATCCATTATTTGTTGTTATTGGATGTCTTCTCTGAACCAAACAGGGACTAATCAAATCAGATCTCAGACGCCAAAGAAAAAGAGGTGCCTGATTCTTCTTCACTTGAGAAATACATTACATCCTTTCTGTCCCCATGGCTCAGCAGTCCGTCCCCCACCCCCCCCATCCCCACCACCAAGCTCTTAAGGGACTTCATCATTGCATTATGCACCAGAGCTACTAGGCCCATTGGGAGAGCGAAGGATGCACATCTGTAAAGACTAACATGTATAGACTAATATATTTGGACCACCTACATATATCTGCTAGATCACATATTAGTTGCACATGTCAACACACTATTTATACCAATACAAATCTTGTAATACAAACATTTATCTGTACAATATAAACTCTCACACAAAGGCTTCCCAAATGTTTCTCTGTTAGTTCCACCAAATCTCACACATTTGACTCACTCAATCAAAGGTGCACTAGAGATGTTCACCTTGGGTTACCACATAACAGTGGAAACATGAAAATAAAAAGTGAAATGCTTTGGGAAGTCTGCGTTGTTACTGAGCTCCACATGACCTTCAAACTCCTGCCTGCATGTTGTGACCTCAGAATGGTTCTCTATACAAATGTTGTATCTACGACAGTGTAATCATGTCCTCTTGTGATGCTTTACTGTACTTTATACTGTTTATGAAATAAATAAGTATCTTTATATCGACCCTTGAGCATCCTCCTTTGTTTGATTCAACGTCCTCTTTCATAAGAGAAAATGTTTTTTTAGCTTTTTTTGATTTATGCACAAATAATATAATAAAGTGATAGTAAATCTGTTTACTCTCTGATCCCTTGTGATACTGAGGTGAACATCACATGATATAACAAAGGGTAGTAACCCCTCCCCCAGGTGGGTGACACTTCAACAGCTAGGTGTTTGTTCTGCCCTCTGAGTCTGCCTTCTCACAGTAAACAATAGGACATGGAGCGAGAAAGCCCAAGACACCCAAAGCCCTTCCAGAGAGGGGGCGTGGTCAGACACAGCTCATTTACATATTTAAAGGTACAGACACAGAAACAGCCTGTTCTGAGCAGGGCTGAAATAGAGGGGTTTATAGACATGATCAAATACAGGATCAGAGTGGATTTAGAACAAGACACTTCACACACACGTTTCGGGGAGCTCTGAGACTTATTCAAACTGGTTGAAAGAAGAATAATATATGAACCTTAAATTTTTTTTAATGATGCATATTGTAAATTATTGTCTTGTGAAAGAGGAACAGATTATATAAGATTATTCTTCTTTCTGCTCCTTTTCGTTCAAGATTTGAGAATTAAGTGTTTGAACTTAACAAAACACTCACTGAGAAAAGTGAGTGTCTTGTAGTGACTTTTAGAGCCCCTCCTTCCTCGTCCCTCATCCGTCTACGCGAGTGCCAAAGAGGAAATAGAAACAGGGCGTACGGTTATACACAGCATTTCATGTTGCTCTGCTTCACGTTGTGCTGATCAAGCAGATTTTGTCGCTGGCGCTCCCTTCTGTAACATAAATGACCCATCCCATGTGGACCTATGTCACTATCTTTTTTTCCACAGAGTAGTTTTGCTGCCTAAAAGTTAAAAGTTTGACAGATTCACAACATTAAGCACATGTAGGAACAGAGGGTAAATATCTCAACAGCCACTTTCACAATATATTCTTTATTGTTTTTTTTGTAAGTAGCAAAGATAAAAGTGTAAAAGTTAAATGTATGAGAGCCACAAACAGTATAGACAGAACAATGTCATGCAGATGGTAGATACTTCACATTTTTCTCAAGGGTCAAAATATCTCAATCTTGTCGTCTTTTTCATTTCAGCTTCAAATTCACATTTTTGTCCCGACATAAAGTTACATCACCATGTTTAATATCAACCTTTGGACTCCAGCTTCACGACAAAGATTGTTAAACCCTGTTTTTTTTTTAAGAGCTGCTACACTAAGCTACACTGCAGATTTTACAGTACAATACTGCACCTACTAAAGCACACTAAAGATCACCTGTTCTACACGTATGTACAGAAGAGAAACACTGTGCTGTATAACGTGATGCTTTTATGAAACACTCTGCTGCCTATACAAAAATCTACAAGTGTTCAGTTTAGTATTCACATAATGAGATTTGTTCAAGATCAACAACTCAAATACGTTCTGCTTTCCTTTGACATCAGTCTCCAGCATACTGCACAGTGACTCAGGGACATACACGGAGGTCAAAGAAAGGTCCAAAGGTCCGCACTTTAAACACAAAGAGTTAATGCAAATGTTCAAGAGATGAAGATTATTGCATGAGGTTTGAACGCACAAAGTAGCAGGTACAAACATGTTAGTTTGTTTTGACAGCGTTCATTGGTTACACTGGAGAACTTTAAAACAGGAAAGGAGAAGGCGCTGTCCAGCTCGGCAGGTTTTATGGAACATGAAGAGAAAATCAAAGGATTGTACACAGATCAAATAAAACTCTATAACAGCCTCTGTTATAAATGCAAACTATTGATACTACATTCAGCAGGTTATATATCTCTAAAACTTTATCATAAATGTTCTGTACAACTTTCTCTTTGAATGTCTGAACTATAAAAATCACTCCCCGCAGACCACCTGTATTTCTCCATTCTGACATAATGAAGAGTAGACTTCTAACGTGACATAATACCTCACCTTTCTCACTCTACTTGATCAAACTCTGACTTTTTCATCTGTTTCCTACGACAGAGTTTGAGGGCCACGTTCAAGAAAACAAAATCTAACCTATTGAGATGAAAGTCGTAAATAAACAAGAATAAAGTCGTAAATTTACAATATTAAATTTGTAAATCGCTTTAAATGAGGCTTTGGTTAAAACCATTATTCTGAAAGGTTGACCTATTACAGATCAGTGTGTGGCACCTCACTCCCAGAATCGAAACTCAATGTCCGCCATATTGCTTGGTAGCTATGCTAACAGTCTCTGTGGAGAAAGCTGAGGAGAACCAACAATGGCAGAAAGTATGTTTCAACTTCAAACTGATATGGATGAAGGGTCTTTTGCTCGAATCGGATGTTCATGGCTATCTCTATGAGCTGCAATATAGCGACGAGGCGGCTGCTGCTGACAGGCTGAAGTATAACTTCACAAGATGCTAACTTTCATACAGGTGGCCACTGCTCTTCTGATAGAACTATAGAATAAAGTAACAAACTTTAATCTTGTAAATTTATGATTTTAATTGAGTACATTTACAAATTTATTCTCGTAAATGTATAACTTTATTAAAGTCAGAAATGTATTCTTGCACATTTATGACTTCCTTTACTTGTGACTTTATTCTCATAAATCTCAGAGTTTATTCTCCAACATTTATGACTTTAATCTCGAGAACTCAGATTTTTGATTCCCTCAATGTGGCCCAAATACTCCATCGTAGTTTCCCCACATGGCATTTACTGTCATGACATGACCTTTGGTAGGGTCTCAATAACTTGACCACGTTCATGAGGACGATATCTTTAAAATACATTAACAAAGAAAGGACATTTAAAAAAATGGGATCATCCTGATAAGGCTCGATGTATATAGGCAACAACACACAATACAGCAGCAGAAATCACGTCACAGCCGAGGAAACACAGGATGGTAGAGCAAAGTGTTCACCTGCTGGGTGTATGCTGCACTTATTCAGCATTTCTAAACGACAAGCATTAGAAGCTGTAAAATATCGACCAATGGCAGCGATGTCTCAGTGAAACTAAAGCTACAATTAATTTTAAAACAGTTGTGTTTTTACAAAAGACCCCTACACTTCCTTGATGGTCATGTGATCTTTACAAGGACCTAAGCCCTGACTTCAGCTCATAGAGGCGGCTATCTGCATCTGTAGGAGGGATGACTTCAGCTCATAGACACAGCTATCTGCATCTGTAGGAGGGATGACTTCAGCTCATAGACACAGCTATCTGCATCTGTAGGAGGGATGACTTCAGCTCATAGACACAGCTATCTGCATCTGTAGGAAGGGTGTGGTCAGACATTGAAATTCTTAACCACCCATCTGGTTTTTAAGAAATGCATCACCATAATTTAGCTAAAGATGATGAGACTAAGTTTGGATTAAAACAGGCACAAAGGAGTAGCTGCGTGTCCCAGATCAGACCTTTAAGCTCTGAATGAATTCTGAAGAAGCCCACAAAACTCCCACTTTCCCTTTTAGATTACACTATTCTGTCAGATTTTTGTAAAGACGTTAAATGGAAGATGCGCTCTTCTGAAGTGTTAAATAAAGATCGTAAAGTCCAACAACGACATGCAAAAGAATTAGAGACATGATCCAATGATAAGTCGGCTTTGTAGAGGATAATACAACTTCTGTCATGATTTCAAGTCAAACAAAATATTAACTACTGTTTGTTTTAATTGTTGACTTACTGCATTCAAATGATAGCAAATCTGGGTTTTCTAAATTTCTCGGTCTGTCCATTACTTCCTTGCAATACACTGACAATAAGAACAGTTACCAACCTTTACCTCAGGCAACCTGTAGATACTTAACTATCTCATATTGAGCATGCAGCTGCTTCACAGTAAATGGTAAAGCTCAAAGCCTTGACCCTTGTTCACACAGGATTAGTATTACCTGGGGGGCCTCTGCTTATTTGGGAATTGTCCTCTAAAGGGCAGCGATGGTGCGTTGCATTCACACCGTAGAAGCCCAGTCTGTCATTTTTTCTGATTTACTGACATTCCTGATTGAAAACCTCTAGGCACTGCATGACACCCACCTCGTCTTTTGGGGGGCAGGGACACATTGGAGAACTTAAGGACATGTCAAGGTTTTAATGTTAGGTCATAAAGTATACGAGATACCATGCAATAACACGTTTGTATTGAGCTCCGCATCCCCAATTTTCAATAATTTGAAAAATTGATTGTAAAGTGTCTGCACGGGTGATTTAGTGGTTACCAGGGAACAATATATCAGGCACTGCACTCTTCTTCTTTTCAAATTCTATACCAAAAACCAATGTAGTGCACCTTATGTGATGCCATTGACATTGTTGTTATGCAAAAAAAAAAAATCTGCACTTTCAAGGCTTTAATATGAGGCTGTTGAAGGCTAAAACTTGTTCCTGACCACATTCTGCAGAGCACATCATCCATCTGGACACATCTGGTTCTTCTGATGGATTTTTTGCTCTTTCTACCAATGTGTCTACGTACTGTAGCGAGATGAGCCAAATCAATTGCACTGAAAACGCTGTCAAAACCATTGTTACAACGTCCAACATCGCCTCTATTATTCTCGACCAGAAAAAAAGAGGCAAACATGCTGCAGAGCCCGATTTAAAAAACAACTGGAGAATTACTGAGATGTCGAATGGAACTGGTTGACTTATATCAGAGGACCTTTGTGTTTGTATGGTTGGTAATTTGCCCTGGAATACCTACTTTACAAATTACAGACATGGTTGATTTGCAAGGTATTGAAAACACAGACATCCTCAGGAATTCATCAAAATTAGCAAGGCTTCTCCGGGTAAATCTAATCCTGTACAAACATGACCTTTTGTCTTCATTTGACAAACACACACTGAAAACAATGGACCATCTTTGGACATGCTGGCCTGAGCTCTGGCAGAAAGGGTTCTGGGATTTGCCCATGGTACTTAAAAAGCTACCAGATTGAACCACAAACCTTGTTATTATTTTTTAACTTGCTTTTGTTAAACTTTAAGGAATTATTATGGACCAAGGAGAGCTGATCAAAGGGCATGAATCTGGAAAACCTTTACTGTGGAGCATCTGCAGAATAAGTCGTGTTACTTTGCATGGGAAAGATGGACCTCAGCAGTGGTCAAATCACAGCCAAGGATTATAAAATCTCATCATGCAGTAGAGCTGCTGAGAGCACTTATTAGAATTTTGAATACATTTACCAAGAGATGGGGAGAGTTGGGGAGAGCTGAGCAGAGCTAATGGTGTTCAGAATGATTAGGAGCATCGCTAAAAGAGAAAGAAAACCCATGTAGCTTCTGGAAACAAATGTGAAACCTGCATTTGAATTGTTTGTCTATTGGCCTTGACAAATCTCTCGTACCCCTGCACACATCTGAAATGAAAGCTCTGGTCAATTTTACAGTTCCTTGGGCTCGCCGTAGTCGTTGTACATGACGGTGAGCGTCTGCTCATCACAGGCCTTGTGCACGTCCTTGCCCATGTCGGACCAGTTCAGGCCGATGGTCTTGGTGTCGGTGTAACGGCAGGACAGGAACTTGAGGGACATCCTGCGGAGGCCGATCTTCGGCTCCTGGAGGAGACCTCTACACCACGGGGAGAGTTCGTCTAGCTGGGAGAGGATGAGGCCGGCCTTCCTGTTGGAACAAAGAGAAGAAATAGTTAGAAGTGTGTTTTGCTTGAGGACATCTCTAAACCTGACAAACATCCAACAATTTTCATTCAATAGTTTATAGGACATAAACACAACCATGGTTCAATACAACAGAGTCTTCTTTTATTTGTATCATTGTAAGAAGCATCAGTTAAGTTCAAGTTCATTACGTGTTAATATTATGAAGTAGATGATGTCATTTGGCATTTTTCATTCTAAAATAAAGGGTTTGATAATGTAGGGCCCTTTCCGAATAGCCACAGTTCAGTATGCAGTACGTACTATTCAGTATGGAGTTTCTGTATACTGAACTTTCGTGGTCATTCAGTATGCATCTTTTGGGTCCACCTCAGTATACTGAACATTTCAGTATGGATACTAACTTCCTGGTTTCATGCAGTATGGATCGGATGCGTGCTTTCAGGAAATTAATTGTATTTTATCACCCACAATGCTGTGCGAAATTAAACGTAAATCGTCACTTCACGTGTGCCTCTAAATCAAAACAAACGAGCGTGGATTAACTTAATCTTAATTTAAAATCCCGACTGAAATCGCTACTTTAAGTTAACAACAAATAAAATAACAAATGTATACATTATAAAACCTTTCCCCCTCTATTTAAATAATGATGTCACTATTTAAATGCGTCTTTATTGGTTTATTTTATATTCTGTATATTACTGTCTTTCATTTGTACTTTCCTTTATGTACTGTATGTTATTTAGTTATTTAATCTTTTACTTGTGATATTGTTTTGTTTACCTGACTGTATATGCGCATTACTCTTCTTGAATAAAGATAAACAAAAAAACAAAAAAAAAACAGGTGAATGCGGCCGGTTCGGGAAACGTAAATGAGGCCACTTCCATACTGAATGAATCAGAAGAAGTAGGAACAAATATCTGCCTACTGTGTGTGCCTACTGAATACTAGGTATTAACAGAATGCAGCACAGATAGTACGTACTGCATACTGCCTACTGCATACTGAAAGATTGAGTATGTACTTGGCAATTCGGATACAGCCTAGGTCTAGCATTTTCTGTATCATGTTTCTTTCAACACTTTCATACATGCTTTCATTTGTTGGTAATGAACTTCAAGACTTGTATTGAAAGACGAGGCTTGAAGCTCATTACCAACAAATGAAAGCATAATATTCCTGTTTGAATGAACGGTTACTGATTTTACTGATTTTACAAATTGATTTTTAAGCTTTTACTTCTTATTTTAAAAGCACTTCATGGTCTGGCCCCAGAATATATCTCTGAATTGCTCTCCCCTTAAGAGGATCCCAAGCTGACATTTTCTCTGAACCTCAAATATGGCAACAGTATGGTATAAATAACAGTTAAAGCCTGTTACATTTCATACACACGCTGAATAGTACAGTATTTGACGACTTGGGAAACTCCGCATCTGAGGAAGGGCAGCAGGGGAGGAAAAACATTGCTAAACCTTAAAATGTCTTTGGACGTGTTATTAAGCTCACAATCTGTCATGCCATGAAGTCTTGAACATTGGTGCTTTTTTCAACAAACTAAAGAAAGCGTCACAAGAGATCACCAAAGTGTAGCTGCCTGTAGGTCACCAGTAAACACAGTGAACTTTGTCACCACGCATCCGAGGTAAAGTGGATTCTTATATCAGACGTCAGCTACACTTTGACTGTCTTGAGTTCATATATCACACTGCGACTCTGCTGTAGTTTCAGAGTGACATCACTGCACCGCCCCATCCAGCGCTGCTCCCTGTCTGTCTGTGCTATCAGGGTCAAGTGCACTGTTACTGACACATTCCTACTCTGACCAAAAGCACACAGTGGCTGCTGAAGGTTTTCGGTAGAGATGACGGAAGCAAAACATTTAGAAGAAGAGGAGTGAATGAAGGAGTGAACGGCCATAGCAAATAAAAAGCCGGTCCTGTGGAGCGGAAACAGACTGACAGATTGCTGTCATAGTGGGCAGACGTTTCCAAACCAGTCCAGCTGAAAAAGCATCTCCATTAGTAATACGATGCCCAGAGTTCACATAGATACATGTCACTGTGTAATAAATAACCATTATGGCTGATGCCATCTGCTAGGTTTAGTGAAACCCAGTCAAGTGTTAGTCTAAAGTCAGAACATGTCAGCAGCAGATTTTATTCATTCATCTCAAAATGTTCTCCTCGTTCTGCAGCCAAAGCAGAACTTTTCTGCAGCACAGTGCGTCCCGCTCTGCCAACCCACAAGTCTGCTGGACTCAGTACTCAGCTCAGTATACTGATGAACTGATGACACCCTCAGAGCACCCAGCATACACGCTCAATAAGCACCCTGAGAGGGAAACAATGAACACACTGATAGGAGGAAATAAAGAGCATTTTCAGCAAATTATTTCACAGGTGAAGGTAAACTACTACGTTCACCTGATCGTCATAGAAACTCACCTTAACAATATCCCACAGACTGGACACTGGTAACATTGGTGTGATGAATGAAGGGGAGATGATGGGTGGAAATTAAAGGAGGTGATGAAGTAAAAATAATTCCCAGACCTTAAAAAAATCTGTCTGATTATGGTGAATATGAATGTAATGGTGGTGATAATCACAGACAGGTCTTTCTTTATATATTTAGAGTAGCTGTTAGCATTAACTACTTGATCACTCTGTGAATTTCAGTTTGCCCCTTGCAAACAGTATGACATCTAATGCTTTTGTATTGAAGGTGGACAAACTGATGTGTGGTGCTTTGTATTGAAGAGCTGTTGACTCAAATCACAACACTCGGAGGCTCGTCAATAAACGGCCGAAAAAAAGTTTTCTCCGGTGATGTTGACACAAGTGAAAGCTCACCATTTCAATCACTGATGTGAATACTAATCCTGCAGCATTATCTCCACTTTGTACAATGAGCTAACAAGCTCTGTTGAGGGAGAAAAGCGAGTGTCGGTGACTTGTAGAGACCCCGCTCCTTCCTTGTTCCTCGTCCGTCTACACAAGCGACAGGGAGGAAAATAGAGGCGTCGAGGTAAAAATATTTTCTATACACTGTCCTCTCTCTTAATAAAGACATCATTCATTCAACATCTGTTCATGATGTTTTACTGAATTGAAAAGTCAAAGTTAACCCCAGCTTCACGGCAATAAAATTAATTTTCTTTGAATAGTTTTTCTTTCATTAACTCTCCTGTTGACTTAACAACTGTTTGATGTACACAGTCGGGGAACAGAGTGTATCTAATAATAGAGATGACTTGTGCACATCACTCACTGGCTTCTTGCGTTGAGCCAAAATGAACACTCGTAGATATTGATGACACAGTCCTGAAGACACATGGAGAGGTAACTGCGTAGTCTAATGTAGTTCACAATGACAGCCAACATCAGGACATTCATAAATATGTATGTGGACATAAGCATCAGATACATCACTACACAAGACAAAGCTTGGTTCTGTCACAGATTGACCTTTACTTGTTCGTCCTGAAGAAAACAAACTATTTCAGAGAAGTAAGAATTTTTAATGCTATTTTAAACTTGTGGAAATCCAATATCTGCTATTAAATGCTAAAATCACAAGTCTGTTTGTTTGTATTTCTTTTATCATATCATTGATAGGCCGCAGTTCTTCAGTGTTTGAACTCAACGTTGGCACTCACCATCACACTGTCATAACACAGACACTGTGTGGGCCTGTGGCTTCTACACTATTTAATCTCCCTCATCTTTACCCCGACTCCAGATCAACTGCTGCTCCGTAAACATAAAGCACATCAACATATTTCCTGGTATGTTGTAATGTTCATTTTGGGGAGAATGGACGTTTTCTTTATGCCACAAATACGCCTCAATCCCTCTCATACTGGCAACCAAAACTTCACTGCAAAATATTTCAGAGTTATTTTTGGCATCTTTAAATTGCAAACGTTGTTACACTCAGAGATACACGAGAAGCGACTTCCTCTTTGCAGCTTATGTTACATAACATCTATGTATGTTATTGTATTGATTTTGGAATGGGGGGGGTGCATTTTTGACATTAGACATTATTGTCATGGTATGCAATCCGTAAAATGTCATTTGTGACAAGCAGCCCATCAGCAACAGACGAGATAAAAAAAAACAGAAAAAGAAGGTATCTGTATAAAAGGTTGAAAGCTATACAGAGGATGGAGGCTCAGCAGGACAAAATCCCTTTTGCAAATCCACTCGACAGATCTCTCCCAGCAGCTTCTACAAGTCTCCGTTTGGTTTCCTGCTCAGGAAAACTGCAGCGAGAGAGAGACTCATTTTAATGATGTCAGCGTCTCTGCACACAGGAGTGCTTGTGTCGGTCCATGTGCTCTCCTGCAGCCATTCATATCATTTTTCTGAAACCTCATTATGTACCCAATATTATGCCACAGAATCCAGTGGTTTTGAGGAGATGGGGGTATTTATTTGCCTTAAATAAAGAAAGAAAAAAAAGAAAAGTGTGGTTTGTTATGCTTTCATTTCTTAGGAAAGCAGAGGAACGTCTCACAGGTTCCAAATAGAAACAGTTGTCAACATAAATCCTGGCGCATGTAAACGAGTGGAAAGTCGTTGGAGATACAAAGTCCCGTTTAAAGATTTTTTTATTACGGAGGGGTTTGTGTTGAGCAGTACATGAGCAGGCATGTAGATGCATGGTCATGTGTGATACAGGTTCCTATAGAAAGCTCACACTAAGGAGGCTTACTGCATGACGAGGTGCATTAGCAAGTGGTGAATGACTTACATTGGTTTTATAATACAACCCCCCAATTCCTAAAAAAAAGTTAGGACGTTAAGTGAAATGTAAACAAAAACAGAATGTGATGATTTGCTAACATAACACCACATATTTGACCACACAAAGACAACATTTCAATTGTTAACACTGAGGATTTTATTGTTTTTGGAAAAATAATATGCCTGTTTTAAGATTGAAGCCAACAACAAAAAAAAAAAAAAAAGTTGGTGAAGTGGCAACAAA